ACCCTTTCATATCTATGCACCTAAACCCTAAACCCCACCACCCACACCACAGGGGGCGCGGGGGTGCAAACCCTAAACCCAACACCCACCACCACACCACAGGGAGGGGGGAAGGGATTAAATAAACCTGAAACCCACAACCCACCACCGCACCACACCACATTGCAGGGGGGGAGCGGGGGCGGGGGTTAAACCCAAAACCCGCCACCACACCACAGCGGGATGAGCGGGGGTTAAACAACCCACGTAAACAACTGCACCACCCACACCACCCACACCACAGGGGGGCGGGGGGGAAGGCAGCATAATAGGGCCCGCAAGGGGGGTAACCATGGGGGGGGAGGGGGGCGGGGGTCGGGCGACGCTGCACCATATATATATATATATATCTGTGTGTGTGTGTGCGTATGTGCAACATGTAAACAACAGTATCAACAACTAGACATGCACAAGCGAATAGAGGAATAGTGTTCACGCGAAGCCACACATATGCGCACATCCATTGTTTCTAACATCCTGGCCTGTCTGGAGATGCTGTGGAGTAGATAGACTGTCAAGTTACTTTGGATGGAAGAGTGGTAGTGGCACTGTGCTATAATGTGGTTTGTCTGAGTTTTCTGTGATTGGTGGCTGGCAAGCCTCAGCCCTCGTTTCTGACCGCAAGTCGAGTTGGTCGATGGATAGTGCAACAGTACAACACCCTGATGTACATTACTGGGCCATTGTCTCGCCTAGATGTTGATGGACAGCTGATGGATACCAGAGGATTTGCGAGTCTCCTGGTATGTGTCACCATATCTGGCTGTGCGATGTGTGGAACATACAAGCTCAACTCAACACAATCTCGGGCTGTTCTCCCACAAAAAAGCCGATGGATTCCAGAAGATGTACGATTCTGCTGGCGCGTGTCACCTTCCTTGACTGTACGAACTCTACAAAATAGTCAGCCGGCACACCCAGTTCTGAGACGCAGTGAAATGCGGAGCTTACTTGCATGAGTCGCCTGACAATGGCTGAGAATGCTGGCCTGTAATTTGTAATTTGTTATTCTGTTCTGATGTTCAATGCAGTAACTCAAAAGTGCCGCTAACGTATCGTGGAATTCAGTTGCCGAAGGACACAAAACAGAAATTAGAGTCGTGACTATGCCTGTGTCATGCTAATCTGCGATGCCTGAGTTCAAGGCTTTCATCCACACCGGAAGAGTTGGATGAATTGACAAGTATGATATCATAACCCTCCTTCGCGACAAGCTGATGATATTCCCGACTACCTGTGCGTATATTGTATATGTGTGTGTATGTACAGCTTTGTACACACACACACACGCATGCGCTTTTATGCATGTGTGCACATGTACCGGGCATTGACTTTTCTGACTCGTTCATACATGCACACATACTTACATACCTGCATGCATACATATGTGCAGACTGACCATTAGATTCGTGATGATGTATACAGCACATTCACATCACGCACACGCACACAGATACAGCAGCTGGGGCCTGGGCCAATCTTCAGTCTGAGCTCAAAAGGGAACCGAAAGTCTGCCAAAAACATGTTTATATGTTTATATACTACAGGGGTCGCCGCGAATTCTAAGGTGACGCTGCTCTGCTACATGAAGTTGCATCCCTTCCGATGACGAACGATCCGGACCCTGTTCCGCGTTCTGTGTAGTCCTGGTATCTGCGGTTTTGTGGCCGGATTGGCCGGGCAGAAGGGGAAAGTCGTCAAGCTCGGAGCCCGGGAAAGTTGCTGGCAGGGATGCGAATAGCCAAACCGGGAGAGGAGTTCTGTACGGAAGATGGCAGCGCATGGGGAACCTATCACTGTGTCGTAGATTCGCTGCTTCACGTGGATTTGTGAAGGATGGTGTCATCCACGCAGAGCCTCGTGAGGCGCAGACGTCCTTCTTGTGCCGGCTTTCTGTGACCATTATAACGCCTCAAGTCAAAGATGGTTTTGTCGAAGCGAAGCTGAGTCCGCGGCCCTGGGGTAAGTTTTGTATCCGTAGGCCAAATTTTGAAAGTTTGCGCGAGCTTCTATGCTGCGTCTCATGATTGGTTTCTGGAGCACTAGACTCTGCTTTGCTTGTTGCTCATGTAAGGTGGGCTTTCCGCTCTTTGTGCGCTGCTTGCGGTGGATGATTTCCAACGACTTCTCTGACTCCCAAGAGGTCATCAAGCTCTAGCGCGAAAGGCGGGGAAAGCAAGGAGACACACCTGGAATGCACATATTGCAGAATCTGTACACCACGGCGTGCTCAAACGATTGGAGCCGCAAAGATGGGTTGTCCTGACGCCGCATGATCAGCAGTACTACCAACATTTGCCACTGCAGCGTACTTGTTCGTGCTCGTCAAAAAAACAGTGTTAATATATCTTTGCAAGCTTTCACAGGAGCACTGTCAACATGAACAATAAAGTGGCCCCAATCGTGGGATGCTAAGGCTTCAGAACCTTCAGAGGTCGTGGATTAGGGCTGTGGAGACTTTTGGACTGTCTCCTCTGCCTTTCGTTTACTTTCAGAGTTGGCAGTCTGGTAGTTGGCATTGCGCTTTCTTGGGCAGCAAGTGGTTCCGTGCTCGAACCTGTCTTGAGAGCTAGCAATGTCAGTCTCATTATCACGGTGTTTCCCTTCGGTTGCTGCTGCCACAGTGCTGTTCCTTTGGGTGGACCTTAGATGACGAGTTATCGCCCTGATTCCCATCTACCTTGCCGCCCTGGCCCCGCAGGTTGGATGCAGAATCAGTGGGCAAACGCGACCCAGCCACATGCCGGTAGGACTGACAAAATTTGGGGGACGTCGCACACCCTCGGATGTTTTGTTTTCCGTTCCTCGATCGTGATCCGCGATGAGACTTGCAAGTGGCGGCTTCGTTCTTCGTCGAAGACTGCAGTCATAACACTGTTTAGAAGGACGTAAGAGCGCAACGCAGTATTTTAAATTCTAGACAATAGCCAAGGCTTTTTATAAGGGCTTATGCAGTTCTGCCGCCTGTGATGGCAAGAACTCCTGCCCGAAAAGGGCATGCTGCTAATGCTGACAGCAATTGCCTGGTGATTAGCAGGCAAAGCTGACTCGGTTCCTGGGTTGCCAAAGGCCCCGGCACCTCGAAGAATTTGTTTGTTAAGATTATACGCCCAATATGCTGCAGATGCAGCATGTCCAGGTATATTATGGCTGTGGTTTCAAGGCCAACAGCTGGCAAAGTTAATTGCTCCAAAACTGTCGTGCGCCGCCTCTGCTGCTTGGTGCTGCTAGCTAGTGGTTCGATGGATCTGAGCTTTGCATCATGCTGCACGTCGAGCTGTGCTGACTCTGGATGCTCAGAGGGAAGAATCTTCGAAGGCAAAAATGACCGGCCAGTCGATGTTCCGACTCCCTCGACTGTTATCAACTTACTCCCCACCGGCAATCACAAGATTCGAACTGATGGTGCATCCTTGAAAACCGGCCTTTGTCGAGACTGGCGCTGGCAACTGTCATGGGCATACCGCGCTTGACGCAATGGCTTCGCAGCACCTTCCCCGATGCATTTGCGCTAGAGGCAGGTGCTTGCACGCTGCACACTGACTGCTTTCAAATTTCATTTGGATCAGGACTGCTCGCAGGGCACTCACCCAGCCAGTGGCGCAAGCAGCCGTTGTCCACAATACCTTCATCCATTCGTTAGTGCATTTGCGAAGCCACCCAGCTATCTATCATCCTCCCTCCTGGATCTTATTGAGATTCAAGAACTCCCTTTCCAGGCAGATCTCCAAGCCGAGCATGTGCCTCTCGGTTGCGTAGCTTTCGGTGGTTCTTTCTGTGCCATTTAAAACCCCGCGTGCGGCCGTGTGAGGGCTCGGGCCCTCCATGGTTTTTGTGATGGTTTCTGCTTATTCTTACTACGTGCTATTATGTCTCTTGCTATCGTCCGTTTCGTTGTTGCGAATATCGGGTCGTGAGACGGATGCCTCAATCATGTGTGTTGTCCGGTAGGGATTCCTCAAGCATGTAGGGGAGCAGGATCTCGTTGCTCAAGGCGGCGTGCCTCCGAGGTATCTGGACGTGAATTGCATACTCCACGAAGCTTTGGGCGCCTTGGGCGGGTCTGCCCCAGAGGCCGGCTGCGATTCAGCAGTCCTCAGGCCTCGAGTGACTGGTAATGGCAATTGCTAGTAAGGTAAATAGCTTTTGTCATAGTTCTGTTGTTGTTGTCATCAGTTTTATTGCTAATTAGAGCACAGACTCAAACTGCACGTCTTCAAGCCCGAAGACTTGTGGTGCCACCCCATTCGCTTTTCGAGCCGCATTGAGTGTCGCAGGAAACGTTCCTGCGCCACGTCTTTCAGCGGCTAGAGATCATCTTGGCGCAGTGTCCTGGCTCCGAGATGTGCAGCAACTACCACGCCAGAGAGATCCAGTGCCAAGCTTTCACCCACCATGGGTAGCCCTCTCGAAAACAGACACCACCAAAGCAGTGTGTTTGGAAGGATTCACTGCAGCGCTTCTTTGTATCTGGCCTTGGACGGCGCAGCTGCAGCTGCCAAGGCCCAAGCAAAACCAGAGTCTCCCCCATGAGCTACTCATGCTTCTTGAACGTTGCCTGCTTCCGATTTGTTCGTAAGTTTTAGCAGCTGTGACGCTACCTCCTCGCTAACCTCGCCCCGACGAGTAGTCAAGTCATGTCAAGTCCATGCCCTACCTGCATTCCTTGCCACGGCTTGGTCTGCCAGAATAATCAAGGGCTGGGTCACCCAGACTGCTACAGCGTGGGGCCCGTGGATCATGGCGGAATTGTGGGCGAAAGGTAACGGAATTGTCCAAGTGCCGCAATCGCCGACGATTCCGTTCTCCTACAGCAAACCATCACTTTCTCGTCCTAGCGGTAGGGCCACGTCTGCAGCCAGACTTGTCTGCTCCGGCTCTGACAGGCCATTCCAATTCTTCCAAGTCTTCACGACAGGGCCGTGCAACATTCGCCCGCCCGTTCGAACATCTGAAAGAAAAATCATAGCTCCACCTGCGAGCATTTTGGCAGCTGCGACAGATTCTGCCATGATGTTGAAACCGCCTATCCATTGCGATATACTTGCCGGCATTGACCATGTCCGTCGCTGCAATTGTCCTGTCGTGATTCGATCTGATCCTGCAGTGCATTCCCTGTGCTTCGGCCTCCGATCAAGACTCAGACCATTCGTCCTTGTTTTCGGGCCTTGCGCTGCCCTGCAGCGACAACTGTTGAAGGGTCTCCACAAAGCATCAAGGACAGTACTGGCGCCAATGCCATCAGAGCAAGAATAAAGCGCTTTACCTACTTGCAAAGTGCAAATCCGCCAGAAGAGAATCGCCCGGAGGTGTCCGAGCAACGGCGACGTCGACGTGCCAGGCAAGAGCAGGCCACCACAGAAGGAGGCGAGATGTCTTGAAGATACATCGAAAGCCAGCAATCGTGTTTGATGGGCAACTGCGAAACTTTGAGGGTTGTTACGGCTGGGCAGCTGAATGTGTGTGCTGGATGTCGTTCGATTCGAGTGGCGAGGGGAAGTCAAGCTGCAAAGGGATCAGCAGGCACGCAAGGACATGCAAGGGCCGGAGCAAAATCTTGTCGTTTCGGTTTTGCATAAGACAAGTCGCTGCAGCATTTTTGGCTCGCAGCTTGGCTGGACTGAACAAGTTGGCATCGTCCGTCTGTTGCCCGAATGCAACCTGGCAGCCTTAGTCTGGATCGCGGATTGCCTCCGAAGACGGCGTGCGCGGGGCAGCCTGAAAAGAAAGCATTTTCTCGTAGCCTTTGAAATTGAGTGTGTCTGTGTCTGTGTGTGCGCGCGTGCTTGGCTGTGCCGCATGGATCTGTGAGGGCGAAGAAGCGACAGAGATGCAGCGATTTGTTTCTTGGCGGATACTCGCGCGAGTGGGCGCCAGAGTCTAGAGAAACACTGTTGTGGCACTACGCATGCCTAGTTTTTTCCTTTTTTGGGCCGCTACATGCCGCAGTATGCCTCTGGGCCGAATGGACATGGCAGCTCCTAAAATGTGTGTTCTGCGGCATTATCTCAATCTGGGCTTCCTGAATCGCCCCGGGACGTAGCGGAGCGGCGGAGCGGGTTAGGTTGGACCACCTCCTGCCAAAGCTCTTTGCCGAGCAGAACGAGGACCAGGCGCTGCGTCTAGGCCCCTCGGAGAGTCAGAGAGGGAGACAGGGAGATATTATATTATATTATCGTGTATTATATTATATTGTACTATATGATGAGAGTGAGTAACGTGTGGATAAATCATGAATCTCCTGCAGCCGGAGATATACGAAAGCCGGCCGAGGCCATCTAGCTCTGATCTCCGACGACCCAGACAATGCTGAGAAGCTGTCTCACAACAAGAGGCCACGAGCACTGGAGTAGCCCTATAGTTTGACAGTTTGACACGTGTCGACAGAGTTGGGGAAGCTTATGGCATGCACTCTGTTTTTCGACGACTTTGATAGCAGATCTTTGTAGCTGGTATAGGTACTGTGTCAAACGAGGAAGCGTTGGCTTGAGTAGCGACGGGCAAGGTTGTGGATATTCAGTTGGATGCTGACAGGGGTCAGGGAACGATGCAATTCTACCATGTCTTCCTGTTGCGTTGCTTCTGCGTGAATCTCGTCAATGCTTTGAGGTGCAAGAATGTACTGGATATATGAATCCTGGCCGCAAGTGGGCGTTGGCAAACGACAACGGAGAGGTCTTCCGTGTAGCGATCGAGCAGCGCAGCGGGGCAGTCGGCTGCAGTGCTGGGGTGATGGCTCAGGTTGGCAGGTTATAGGTAGCGACATCCTCACCTCACATGATGACTCGATCAGCATCCTCGTGAACTTGCTGGTGCCATCTGACTCTTGGGCTGAGCTATGCCCCAATCCCTGCCCCAGTGCTGGCCCGCAGACAGGGCACTTCTCGGTTCGGCGCCAGCCTAGGCGACCCGGTCGGAGGTTTTCCGCGGCCTCGCCGAGTTTGCAAGGGAGAAGGGGACCATCGAGATGCTGTTGAAGCATGCCGCTTCGCATGCAAAGGAGTCGCTCCACTTTGCTGTCAGATGCCACATGTCTTCCTTTACCCAGGTTGACATGCCAGCCCTCGGACACCACTTGGTCAAGGCCAGAGCTTTCATCATTTGGGTTTGGGGTTTGGTTCTCAACAAGGTACAAAACAAACGGTTTGGAACAGTGCACGCGTGTGCTGACGCATCCTGGTTGAACCGATGAAGAGGCGGTCAGCCGATGTGGGAATGTGGAAGACCGGGATGTTGCACGAGACTTGCCCAACAGACGTAAGGCTTCTGTGATTCCAAATGTGATGCCTGTGCAGTCTGTGTGGGCGTGGTTCTGACAGCTAAGAAGCGTGCAGCCTGACAGCGGCATCCATGGAAAATGCTGAGGCTGGGAAAGCGACCGCTCTTTTGCATCCTTCGTGGCCACCAAAACTCATGTCAATGTGCCGCGCGCATGCAGGATAGGGTTGCTTTCTGCAACTTCATCATCAGCCAAGATGGTGGGGACTCCTTCATGCTGAAGCTTTTCGAGCCGTGGCGCCTTTTGGTAGACGCGGGTGTTTCTGGGGATGTGATGAGTTCTTGCTGGAGCCAGCATGGTGCCGGCGCTGTGTGCCCTGCCGATGCGATCCAAGGATGCATGGCCGTGGCAGTTTGGAAGTTTGCAGCTTATTGAGACCCTGGAAACCCAGCAGCAAAGCAGCGAGGGGGCCCTAAGTCTCTAGAGCAGTTCTCTCCATCTTAGACTGCCAAACGAGTTAAAAAAAATGCCGGTGATTGAACCTTGAGGTGTCATCTGCTTGCTGTGTACCGTGCTCCAATCACAGCATCGTACCCGAACGCACAATGAGACGAAAGCCTGCACGTCCCCAGAGCTGTGTGATACTCCGTCCCTGGTGGCGCGAACATTGGTGCGCACACACACACAGACATACATACACCGACCAGCACAGGACAGCTTCCTGATCAGTCCCGTGGACAACTTGATGTGGGATGCGCAAACAGCGAACAGGCCTCTCAGAAAAAGCGAGTTGTGCGTTTCGTCTGAGCATGAAGCCCTTAGCAGCAGCATTAGCACTGGCTTTTCTGAATGGAAGAGATCCTCAGCATTGGAGCCACGCCCATCACACCAATTGGAGGCAGGAGTTCGCCGAGAAGTGGCTCACTTTCCTGATTCGTCAGTTCCTGGAGCCTGCTGCAGAGAGCACCACTTCGATGCTTCTAGGACAGAAGATGAAAGCGGGCGGTGCAATGGTCTTTTTGCACTCGATTTATTTGTCCTGGTCAGTCCGGAAGCTTACGTCATGTGGCTGTTAGCCAATAGGCAGCCAATAGTCAGCTAGGGGTTGCGAGAACCCTGAACCTGGACCGTTTCTCGACCAGTCCGCAATGCAGGAAGAACGACCCAAAGACAAGCAAGAATACGCAGTCCCGCAGGCCACTTTGCAATGCAACCTCGCCGAAAAAAGAACCATGCACATTTTTCGGCGACAATTCGCATTATCACTACCATCCAGAACAAGGTCCCAAAGCCGCCCTGACCATCCTGAACCTCGTCCGAGCATTCTACAACCCCAACTTTAGGTCGGAGGCCTGTGAATTCAGTGGACCATCCTGAAACCCGTCGACTGAGGCAGGCCCTCGGCGATACTTTGCAAGTCAAGGATAGCACCTTCCGGAAGATCCTCCTGACACAGGTGCCCGAAGCACCGCCTGGCACACATTTCTTGCAACACATGGTTTTGTGGTACATGGGTAGTTGTCTAAACTAGGTTCCCCAATATAGTACGGCACCCTTGTAAAAGGACCCTTAAAGGGACCCCATTTTGGAAAACTACCCATATCATGCCGCTACTTGAGAGGTTGTTTGTGGGATGAGGAATCACGCTACGAACCGGTGGGGCCGTCTTTTCAAGGATTTTTTCGGTAGTGGCCAAAAAGGAATCGATCCGCCTGCCCCGTGATGCCACTGCTGCAGGAATCCTTGTTGGAGCACTTGGTGTCCAACTTGGTTGTCAGCTTGCTGACGAACAGACAGGATCATTGCAGGATTCGTGCCTTTGCAAATTTGGCTTCAGAAACCCTGGAAGAGAGCGAGAGTCTGACAGAGCTCTCCATACCCCTTGCCGATCATGTGTGGCACCGGGCCCATGCAAAGATCCCAAAAAGGACATGGCTAACACCTGCAGAACCTAAGGTGCTGCGATGTATGCTGCCCTGCACGTGGCTTCATCCCGCGAGCCGTCAGCTTTGCCGCACTTGGCGAACCATGCGCGCTTTGAACCTTCGCCCTTTTGGAACTCCTTTGTTCAATGTTTTTGTGAAGCTGAGCTGCTGCCATTTGCAGATACGTCGCGACACCTTGTCTTGAATTGCAAAAAACGGGGATTGAGAGCTCCGAGTGGGTGCAAACTTGCTGATTGGACCCGGCGGGCTTCCGAGCTGAGGACACGCTGGTAGCATTGGCAGTCGAGAACATGCAGCTGGCTATGGAGGCGGTGTGCAGGGGTTTTGCATTCATTTTGGAGCTTGTCGTGTGAAGTCTGCATCCGCACAGGAGATTGGTGAGAGAAAAGAGCACGACATCATCAACGTGCTGACGATCTTTCTTCAGAATGAAGCAACCAAGAAAGCAGCAGCTCGGCAGCAGCACCACCGTTGGAAGCTGGCCAAGGAAGCCCCAGAACTCGCCTTTGCTTCACGGAGTGGCCTGTGCAATCTTGTGCACATGCCTACAGTGGCCCAATTCCATCATTAACTTGACAGAAGGTTCTGGCTGGACCAAGCTGCCAACCTCGGTACATCCACCTTTTTTCGGCCGATGTCATGTGATAGATGTTTCGAACACCTGGAACTCGTCCAAATTGCTTCTTCGTCGACTTCTGCCTGTTGCTTCTTTGGCTCACAGAAGCGTTATTGGACAACCCTGCCACGACGGTGACGTCGCCGGGGTCCACAGGCATGTTCCCGGCCATGGTGGCTCCACCACGGTGCAACATTTTCGTGCCTATCCTGTGTTGATTTCAGAAGATTTAGAACTTGAGCTGCGAGTACATGATCCATAGGTCTGAGTTGCTTCCGGCCGATTTCTCGGATGCCGATGTCGATGGTCAGGTGGCATAGACAAGCCACTTTACAAGCTGGCAGCCACGTTCATGGACGAAGCCCCTGCGAAGCAGAGGCAGGCAAGCTAAATCCATGCAGCATCAAGGCCGAGCATTCCCCCCTGAGGTCTGCCGAAGCTGCAGCGCCGGAGAAGGGTCAAAGCAAAACTCAGCTCACCAACTATATTCTCAAGGAGCTGGCCTCGGGCTCATCAAGCATTTGATGTTTGCTTCAGCATGTTGAACCCCCCCCACAGCCAGCGTGAATCAAAGAGCCTGAAGCCTTGCCCCGTCCGACTGTCTGACTGTCCGACATGAGCTGCAAGAGCCGACAGCGGACCGAGACTCTGCTGGGTTCGTGTCATTTTGGTTCAAGCATTGTTGGATCCTACCGCTCACCACCGGTTGAAAGTTTTCGGTAGTTCCTGCTTCTGCAATGGAAGCGTTTGCCGAAGGGCGTGTGGAACAGCGACTCCAAGCCGCCTTGGAACGGGTGCGAGTCATATTGGATGCAACCAAAGATCCACAAGCAGCTGGCGACGTGCACCATCAGTACGAAGATAAGTACTTGCTGGTGGAGGGCGTGACCAATGCAGCAGTTGCATCGCAACTGAACTCGTTTAGTGCCCTGGGCCTGACCATGCAGCAGGTGCAGAAGCTTCAAGAATGGTCCAAAGACAAAGTCGTGTCGTTTCAATTCAATGCCGAGGAGGCATGCAGTTACCTCCGAGAGGAAACTCGGGAAGAAGAAGATCCGACAAGGCATGTCGAAGAGGTTTCAGTTCGCGGTGCGTTGCAGGCTGCATTCACAAGCAAGGTGGTAACGAAGATAACAGAGTACTTCTGGAAGTTCGAGGCCAAGTATGAACTGGTGGCAATCAGAGGAGTTGGCGAAAGTGCTGATGACCGGCTGTGCTTGGTGACACGTACAGGGCAAGCAGAACTGATAACGTCGGCGAAGCAATCCCCGCGCCCAGAGGTGAAGAAGCCAGCCGCCAAACTGCAGGTGAATGTGAGCTGGCTCTTCCGCAATTTAAAGAACGACAAAGCTGTGCCTGGCTTCACCGTGGACCGGCTGGCCAAACACTGCAAAACTCCGAGACGCAACGGAGATGTTCACCAGGCATACAACCACTGCGAGCGCCTTGCCGTTTTCGCAAAGCAGGTGTCCACCTACCTCTCGGGTCTCTTCCAAGTACAGACTGCTGCCAAGAAGTCCCTTGACCTCGGGGCACTCCGAGATGACAGCATTTTCAGCCCTGTTCTTCCAGTTATGGTCCAGAGCTCACAGGAGGCAATCGAAGATCTGGGTCCTGCCAGCGAGAGCATAGTCCTTGTGGAGGCGGTCCGTGAGGAGGCTCAAAGCAACGTGCAGCTTACGGTCCAGGACTCTAATCGATTGCTTCAGGAAGAAGTGCGGAGTCTGAAAGGGAAGCAGACCGACCTTGCAGAGGCCTTCCCAGAAGAGGGCCTCGCGACTAGGGCAGAGGCCTTTGCAGTCGTCACTTTGCAGCATGTCGCCCGAGTGTGTTCCAGCTGGGCCGATGCAGTCGGCTACGTAGAGGACATGCTCCGCAAGCAGTTGGCTGCCGCCATCGGGAAGGAGGTCTCCCCTGGAGATTTTGCCGCCTACATGAGGTTTCATTATCGCAAACTCTTTCACGAGGCATTCCTGCCGAAACCTCTCTGCTTCTCTGTGCGCCGTTCTGACACACACAGCCCGGAGGGAACAGTGAGTATCGAGGAGGCAGTGGTTGGGTCTGGTGGCGACTCCAACATCAACAGTCCCATCGTCACCATGGTGGCTAGCACCGCTGAGTCAGCTCCCATGACCTTTCCGCTCAATGCTTCGACGAACGTGACTTTTGCTGGGGAGACGCACCTTCACGCCTGGCTCTCACACCAGTTCTCGGGACAGTCGGGTTGTGAGCTGTCGTTGGTTGCGCGTGCAAGGCAATTCAGCTCAATGCTGGTTCTGATCGGACGGGTTTCGTCTGCAACCAGCTTTGACCCGAAATATGCCGCCATTATCCAGAACAAGGATGAGCTGACCATACCCTTGAATCTGTCGACGATTCCATCCCCAAAGGAATTCAAAGACGCCATTGAGTCTCTTTCACCAGAACAGCAAGCCTTCGCGAAAGCCTTCCGCGCGATGCAACTCGAGTCGACCTTGTTTGGGGTGCTCGTGGTGCAGATTAAGCCACAGCTGGAGCAAGTGCTGAATCTGGCAGACGACAGTTTGACGAAGGAGATCAAGCTGACACAGGATTTGATGCAGCTTTTCATCAAGTATCAGATCCCTAGTGACTTGCTCTCTTTCGATGCCAGTTCGGGCGAGGCGGAGATCTTGAATCCCACAGCAGCCGAGAGGTTGGAGCGCGTGAAGGGGCACGTGCAGGCGATGCATGAGATGCTTGCCCAGGCGAAGCAAGACGACCTCCAGGAGCGAGAGAGGGAGGTTCTCTACAACGATCCTTTCGCCTTTGAGAGAGGAAGCGGGCGCACGATGGTCAGGGAGGCACTTCAGCTTTCAGCTGCTGCGGTGAATCAAAGCGTTCCCATCATGATGGGCGGCGCCGCACCTCCCCTCGGTGCAGCTCCCGGCGGTGCACCTCGTCGGGGTGCGCCGAGCATGCCGGTGCCACCTCCACCCCCCTGTGCATCTCCGGCTCGGGCCGCTGCGGCCCCCGCACCACAGCCTCAGCCGCCGCAGCAGCCGCCGCAGCAGCCAGCGCAGCCTACTCAAAGGTTTCCCGACGAAGCCAGCTCGGTCGGGGCCAGCTCAGGCACCCGGGACTACACGCAGGTGCCAGTTGAAATGGACCAACGCTTCGAGAAGCTGGACACCGATAATTCCCTCCGGCCCACCATCATCAACCCGGGAGAGCGGTGGACAAAGCGGTCTCAGAAGGCACTGTTGGCCAGCCCTTCCACGTCCCATTTGTCCAAGGCGGAGCAGAAGACGGAAAGAGAGGCTGCTTTCGACCTCCTCGATGCCCTCACGAAGTCAGGGGCGCTGCCCTTGACGCATGCGAGCCTGCATGTGGTAGTAGCAGCCACGCACTGCTTCGACAAGACCGTCACGGAGACTGTCATCCAGAACAACATCAATCCCATTGCGAAAGTTGAGCGATCCTCACTCATCATGGCCTCCACGGTGCACCAGAAACCGGTGCCAGACTTAATCAAAGATGAGCAAGTCCAGAGAGTGACGGACAACTCCCCACAGCTCTTCCTGAAAGACGCTCGCTGAGAGCGGAGTCAAGGGCTTCAAGCTGCAGGGAATTGCCTCAACATCCTACACTATCCTAAACATCTGTCAGCCCCATAGCCCCGGACCCAAAACCTGGAACAGCGCCAGCCGCACTGCTTCAACTGCACAGGCCAGAGCAGTGCGAGCAGCGCAGTAGGATCCGCGCACGAGATTGTTTTCAAGCCTCCCAAGATCAATTCGAAAGTCCTATCCGTTGAGGCAGCACCCGGGGGGGATTTAGGTCAGCGTTACCGGAAATCCTCGAGTCCGTTGCGTCAAGTTTCCTGGTTGCTGCTTGAACCCCAAAGTCTCTGCCATGCCAGCAGGCAGAGACTTGTCGGCTGCTCCCTGCTGTACAGACTCGGCTGCAGCAGCTGTCAAAAAGGATCCCTCGAATCATTGCCTCTCAGTGCCGTTTGTCAGTTTGGACTAGGTGGGTTCGCGGAGCGTGTCGGCTTTGCTGCTGTGTATGAGATCGTGCTTGCCCTCTAGACTCTAGAGCCTCTAGACTGTGAAAGTGGTACTGGTACCTGTAGCAGATTGTAGCAGAAGTGCAAGTTAGACAAAGGTCTACTAAGCCTAGTTTTCCTTGGTGCTGTGGCACAGGAGCTTGAGAAGCTGACCGAAAGTGTTGACTTCCTCATATTCCCCGCCGACCTGAATGCAGCAGAGCGAAAGCATGCACACGAGGCGAAGTGGGAGTCTGGGGTCCCATGTAAAAGAAAGTTTGAGGCCTTCGGGCACCAGGCTGGGTTTTCGGGCAACCCCCAAGTCTCGAGGTGGTGAAGGCTCAGAAGCTCATGTCCGTCTCCACCGGATCAGGCCTGGTCTTTTGACTCTCTAGTTAACTCTAGTTCTCCGAAGTGGGGATGGTGATGGCTTGCGGCATTTAGGGCTGCGCATGGGCTTCCGACGATCAGCATCC